TGTGTGTGTGTGTGTGTCTGTGTGTGTGTGCATAAATATATATTGCATGAGAGGAAAGGAAGTAGTAAGAAAGTTTTTGAACAAACAAACAAACAAACAACAACTACAACAACAACAACAAACTGTACCCTCGCATACAGAAACTGAACTCAAGCATTCTTTGCGACTCATAAAAAAGCCCCATCCCTACACAAGGGCGGTTACTAAAATATCAAGGAAATTAGATGGTTACGTCCCTTCCTCCCTTTGTATGTTCATGTATGTAAACGCATGCTCCGTATAAACACACGCTTAGGGGCCTTCCCAAACACCGTGCGTTTAGGCGGAGACTACTGTGTTAGATCTGGCACAGGTCATTATCTGCAGGGTGTTTGTGTATCTACTTGACTTGACCAGTCCTCAGTAATACAGAAGTTTTAAAGCTACCGTGTCAAGAAAGATTGAAGAACAATGATATTATCCGAATTCCGTTTTAGATTTTGTACTTTAAGACAGTTATTGCTATTGCTTGCAGACTGTAAGGGCATCAAATTGGACTCCATCCGAATAACACAGAGGTTTTAGAGGATCCGTGCAGAGAAATGAATGGAGAACCATGGTGGGCTATGTCTGTTTTAGACATGGCACTTAATGACGGTTATTGTAATTGTTTGCAGCTGTATGGGCATAGGCTTGGACTACACCTGGATAGAAGATTTAGAACATTTGAGCGGAGAAATAGATTAAAAATACGATGTCTGTATTAGATCTGGCACTTAATGCTGGTCATTGTAATTGTCTGCAAGCTGTTTGGGTACCTACCTGGACTTGACTAGTCCTGAGAAATACAGAAGTTTTAAAGCCACCGAGAGGAGATTAATGATATTAATTATTATGCGATTTCTGTTTTAGATTTTGTACTTAAGGACAGTTACTGTTTTTGCTCGCAGACTGTAAAGGCATCAAATTGTACTCCAACTGAATAATACATGTACAGAGGTTTTAGAGGATCATCCGTGTGGGGAAACAAATGTAGAACCATGGTGGGCTATGTCTGTTTTAGGTTTGTAACTTAAAAAATACCCCCCCCCCCAAAAAAAAAATCCCCTGGACATAAATACCGGAACTGAACTCATGCTTTCTGCGCGACTCATAAAAAACCCATCCCTACACAAGGAAATGAGATGGGTTGCGTCCCTTTTCAAATGTTCATGTAAAAGTGGTTATTGTAATTGCTTGCAGGCTGTATGGGCATCTACCTGGATGCACTGGACGCCAGACCCGACAAGACACAGACGGTGGGCTCCCAGCATGCCTTCATGATGTCTGTCATGGATAAAATGCTTGACCATCTCAAGGCCCTGGACCTGTCAGTGGTCAAGGGCGCGATGGAGACCCGGCATATCGGTGACGGTGTTATACTGGAGGGGTTTAAACTAGGTCAGTATGTGTGTGTGAGTGGGGGGGGAGGTTGTGTGAGTGTGTGCGGGGGGGGGGGGGGGGAGGTTGTGTGTGTATGTGTCTGTGTGCGCGTGTGGAGGGGGAGGGGTAAGTTTTGTGTGTGTGTGTGTGTGTGTGTGTGTGTGTGTGTGTATGTTTGTGGGGGAGGGACGGGGGAGGGGTAGGTTGTGTGTGTGTGCTTGGGTGCGGAGGGGGAAGTGAGTGAGTGAGTGGGTAGGTACATATTGTGCGTGTGTATCCGTGTGTATGTTTGAGTATGTGTGCGTTCGTGAATATATGGATTATGAGTGTGTGTGCGCGAGCGTTCGTGTGCGTGTTGGTGCATGCTTCTGTGTGTGTGTGTGAGAGAGAGAGAGAGAGAGAGAGAGAGAGAGAGAGAGAGAGAGAGAGAGAGTGAGAGAGAGAGGGAGAGAGAGAGAGAAAGAGAGAGAAAGAGAGAGAAAGAGAGAGAAATAGGGAAGGGGTGCGGGTAAATCATTTCCCACCCTTTCTTTCACTTTCACACTTACCTTTCTATTTTCAGGATGTATCTTAGCCGTCACTTTCGACAACCCAAAATCTCTTGACAACCTTTGGACTCTCCATGTCAAAAACCGCCTGTCAGCAGCCTTCCAGGACATGATTGTTGACAAGGCGTTGCTACGGGCAACGAACACGGTGAAGATTACACTCCGCGCTAAACTATGGGAGGATGAGTACAGGAACTGCCAGGGAGAGATGAAGGCGAGACCCACCGGGCGAGTGAAGCTGAAGAGTCAAGGTAAATTGGCCGGTTTTAAGGACAAGCGGGCTAACCCAGATTTCGGGGGTTTCCTTGTGTTTAAAAGCGACCGATTACATGACGCATTCTTTCTCTTAGGGCTTGTTTCTATACCGCTTTTGGCGTCAGTGGTCTAGTGGTTAGATTGTTAATCTACGTGTCTGTCAATCTATTAACCAGTGCGTGTGTCAGTGTGTGTATGACTATGTGTGCATCAGTGTGTGTGTGCGTGTGCATGTGTGTGTGTCTGCGTGTGTGTATGTGTGTTTTGTGTGTGTATGTATATGTGCGGATGTGCGTGTGTGTGTGTGTGTGTGTGTGTGTGTGTGTGTGTGTGTGTGTGTGTGTGTGCGTGCGCGCGTGTGTGTGGTGTGGTGGGGGAAGGGTGCAGAAAGCGTATGCAATTGGTCACAAGTGGCTCTGCGGCGAGTGATACCTTTGTCTCTTTGTGTCCGTCTCTTAAACTTCCACCATTGATCTGCCCCCCCCCCCCAACTCCCCTCTCTCTCTCTCTCTCTCTGTCTCTGTCTCTGTCTCTCTCTCTCTCTGTCTCTCTCTCTGTCTCTCTCTCTGTCTCTCTCTCTCTCTCTCTCTCTCTTTCTTTCTCTCTCTCCCCCCTCCTCTCTCTCTCTCCTTCTTGTTTTCTCTTTCTATATCTCTCTCATCCTCTCTCTCTCTTTTGGCTTTTTTGCTATGGAGTTTCCCATCACCCTATTACATGTATAATAATGCTTCATCCTACACAGAAAGCGACTTGGCCATGGTCCAACGAGTACAAGCACACTGCAAAAAGATGTCAGAGGTCATTCTTCAAGCACGTGACATGGAGAGCAAATTTGAGCACGGACTGGGCGAGTTCATGCTTACTGTCAAACGCACGTTCCCCCAGTCCACCACAGTCATACGCAACGTGAAGGAATTCGAAACCAACGTCAAGATGGCTAAGGGTGTGCAGAAGGGAGGATTTGACAACATCGACCATTTCTTCACGGCAGTCGAGTTTTTCCGCAAGTGAGTGGGGGTCAAATTTGTGAAGCAGCGTTGTGGAATCAGGCTCTCGTCAATTTTTGGGCATATTGAGTTATTGGTATCATTTTAAAGCTTGTTCATGTGTCTTGCTTTCAAAGAAAAAGATACCCATCCATCTTCAATAGAAGTGGAGATATTTTAGATTGAAGGAGGTGGGGGTCACCTGATTTAAGAGGTAAAATTAGCGAGAAAATGGCCGCCAAAACTTGGTAAATTCCCAAGCTGGAGAGTCCATGGAAACTGTAAATTCATATTTTTGTGCCTTTAATCAACGTTTTCGGTGAATTACTCAAAGGAATGTGTTTGTAAATGGGCATAAAAGGTGTTGAGCCAAAAAACAAAAATTTGATTAAAATTGCTAAGCAGGAAGAAAAATGCTGTTTTCTTCGATTTCATTATTTTGAAGAGAGCCTGATTCCACCACGCTGCCCCACATGTATTGGGCGTGGGTCTTTGGGCACGGAGTCAGTTGGTGGTAGACATTTTACCTTTTTTCTGTTTGTTTGTCTTTTGTTTTTGCGATTTTTTGTTTTAGATATATATATATATATATATATATATATATATATATATATATATATATATATATATATATATATATATATATATATATATATATATATAGAGAGAGAGAGAGAGAGAGAGAGAGACGGGGGGGAGGGGCAGAGAGAAAGAGGGAGAAAGTGTGTGTGTGTGTTTGTGTGTGTGTGTGTGAGAGAGAGAGAGAGAGAGAGAGAGAGAGAGAGAGAGAGAGGGAGAGAGAGAGAGAGAGAGAGAGAGAGAGAGAGAGAGAGAGAGAGAGAGAGAGAGAGCGGGAGAGAGAAGGAGATGGAGGGGAGGGGGACTTTTAAGAGGGAGTGAGACACGAGTATGGACAGAAGAAAAGACACATTTGGTAGGCAAATTTTCCAGTCTGTCACGGGCCAATCAATGCTGAGGAGCTAACAGCATCCCAGCTGAAAGATGGAGACACATAATACTTTGCCCGCTGTTTTATTTCCAAAAAAATTCTGAAATTATGCAAACTGAGCCCAAAAAACGTGAAATTGTGCGATTTTGTTAATTTTTACAAAAACTGAAAAAGGAAAATAATCAGAAATGTTGCAAAAAATTATCAAATTTTGCTAAATTATGCGGGGTGCATAAGTGAGAGGCTTGCTTGATTTATAGACAACAAAATTTAATAAATATAAAATGTCCATCATCATCATCATCATCATCCATACATAATAATACACTGACACTATTCTCCTATTGAACCAACAGGGTATTTCTCGAAGTTGAGAAAGAACTCATCCACCCACTGTGTCAAGTGAGGGCGCTGTGTGAGAACGACAACCAACAGAACCTTAAAAAGACAATGAAGAACGCATGCGCAGAGGTCCTGGCCATTCTCAAGCCGGATGCAGACCTTCAGAAAATTCGCCACAAGGAGTGGGGGCCTAAAGTCTTACAGCGGGAGCAGGGCCTCTTCTACGGACTCATCAGTCTCATACCCATCAGCTTAGACCGACTCACGACCATTGACGTCAGCATAGATGAATACGTCAACGATTTCCCAGAAATGGCTAGCAAATGATTCTTCGTTTATTATGTGAGAGGGGTTGGTTGTTTTTTTTTCTATGGACACTTTGAAACTTGTACATATTATTTCTAGCTTTAACCCTTCCAATCCCAGCCATTTTTGTGCACTCCCTAACCCCAGTCATAACCAATACAGCAGTATTTCAGTAAAATAAAAAAAAGAGGCATGCCTTCTAAAAAGTGATGT